TATAAAATAAATATTAGTTAATTTTTAAATATTTAATAATTTAAAAAATTAATATTAAATAATATTTAATAATTTTAAAAATATTTTTAAATATTCAATAATTAAAAACATGAAGAAATAAAATATAAGATAAAATATATAAGTGAAATAAGAAGAAAAAAATATGAGAAATTTCAAAGTCTTACTTTTCTGAAAGAATTTGAAATTCTATTATTTCAAAAAATTTACAAATACTTAAATTTCAAATTTTTTTATAAATTCTTCGTTTAGTGTTCAATTTGTCAATGTCAAAATAAAATAAAATGAAGTGTGAATACATGATTATCCTTCTTCTTAGTATAAAGTGATGTTGCAATAGTGGAACTCTTTAGTCATTATGCTTCCTAAGTTGGCATACCTCATTGCATCACCTTGTGGCCCCATTTCCCCCTCCTCTTCCTGGTTACTACGGACCAATTTTTAAAAATTACACTCGTCAAACAACTTTTTCTTTTTTTTTTTAAAACATAAATCAAACATGCCATAAGTTTCCTTCTACTCCCATAGTCACACCAATATATTTATTTTACTTTTAATTATTATTTTTAGTAATCATATATGACTTATCAAAGAATATGTCTTCTCGTGTTAAAGTTTTATATAAATATGATCCTATTTGAATGAACCTAGCCATAAATTCTTATATGAGAAAATAAAATTAAAAAAAGCTATCCCATGAGTTAAAAAAATTAGATATATGAATAAGCTTCCGAAAAACTCACTTTACCCCCCATTCTATTTACATTGAATTAATGAGATATGTTCTTATCTGTCAATATCATTTTCCTTATTATTATTAATACCAATCTTATTATTATTATTATTACCATGAAAATGAATTTAATAGGTAAAGGATAGATGAATGATTGAGTTCTTGGTCCGCAAGTTAGCTACTCCGATTCTCACTCACTCCACATCACACAAGAGGGGAAGACATGTAGAGATGTTAAAGAAGGTTTAATTTATTTAAAACAAAATTAGAATGTAATAATAAAGACACATAGAACTTAATACTAGGCTTGATAACATAAATATCAACCACTTGACTAAAGGTTGAGAGTGAAAATTGACAGTGGACCAGTACACCTCAACCAATTGAGACATAGAAAAGAAACTGAAACAAGAAAACAAAAAGCACTAGTGCCCAATTTATTGAAGGAAGACATATATATATATATGGTGTAAGGTGTAAGGTGTAAGTGAGGCACGTGAGACGACATGATCCTTAAACAAAGTAAAGGATGTTCTTGAGCAGAGATTTGATTTTGACCCAGGTGGAGATACTCTCTCTTTCATCTCCTATCTTGCCTTTTCCAGAAGAAGAAGCAGCGTCATCAGCAACATGTGGAATTAGCTGAAGTAAATTCATGAATTAGTTAATTCACAAATGAATAGTAGGATTCATATAATAGAAGAAGTAAATTAAAATGACCTCATCATTGGCACAATAAGCAGTGTGGTAGTGACCAGTATCATGAGAAGGGGGAGGTTGATTAAGATCAAGAAGAAGCCTTGGACGTTTGTTAGTGTTCTCTGACTCTGACAACACCCTCTTCCTCTTCCTCTTGCCCTTGGCCATGGCCACAACAGTCACACACCTACAACAACAACTCTTCCCAGACATTATGTATTACTAATATGTCTTAACTATATCCAAATAAGGTGCTTTATAGAGTGCCTTCACTCCTCTTATCTTTGTCCTTTTCAGAGGGCAACTCCAACCAAACTTTTTTAAGGAATATATAAATAATGCTTCTCGGCATCCAACTTTAGTCTACCACCTCCATCAAATATCCATGTATACACATGTCGGCTCCATTTTTTTAGTCAAACTCATTTTTCATTGTCATTTCAAACAGCATATTTATGTTACCCGTTCAAAATTCCACAAAAAGGTTTAGGTACGCGGGATTGCGACAAGTGATCCAGGCGGCATTATTATCGGTGAAAAACAATAATAAAAAAAAAAAACTCCTTGCCTATTGTATTTTTTTTATATATAAGATAAAAATGGAGGATTAATAATTAAAGAGTGTATACATATTTTTAGATAATTGTAGTTGTGATTTGTGATGGTTGTTTTTAAAAAAATGGCAGACACAGAATAATTTAGGATGTAGTTATATAGAAACAAAATTATCTAAGCAAATGAGTACACCAAAAGTAATAATCTCTTTTATTAGTAACTAACATGGAAAAAGGTATTTTGTAACTTCGTGAATTATTTTTTTAAAAATAATATATAATAAATATTATATAATAGTGAATGATTATTAAAATTATAGATAGTTATGAAGTAAATTCTTTTTTAAAAAAAAATAATATATATGCATATATATAATTTGTAAAATAATGGTTAAAAAGGTAAAATTGTTCAAAAATATAAACATCAAATAAGACAATTTCTTTTAGTAATAACTATCCAGAGACCGAAACACTTTGTATCTTTATATGTATCTTATCTCAAGATGAAAACTAACTCATTTATTAAACTACTTCATCTGTTGATATTTATTGCTATAAATAGTTTTATGTTATTTATATAATTATTTTTATCATTATTCATTCATAAAATGTGTATTAATTGTGTTGTAATATTGTAAAACTATAAATATTTATCATTTTTTACTTATGCCTCTATTGTTTTCTTAATAATATATACAATCTAGTTTATCTTTGCATCTATAATAATAATGGTTAAAATATATTAAAAATTTTAGACTTTACATAATTATAACTGTAATCATAGATTAAAGTAAAAAAATAGTGTATATATTATATCTCATAAAGATTTTTAGTTTCCTTGTAATTTATAAAAGAAAATAAATGTCATTTGTTGTTAATTTTAGTTAATATTAACATGAAGGAAACATATAGAAATAATAAATAATTAAATTAAATAGTCTCACACATTTCAAGAATAATTTTCAATTTTTTATAGAATACATCACCTATAATTTCTTTAACTTTAAAAAATTACAAAATAAATCACACAATGTCACGTATCAATATGAAATATTTAACATTTCATGTAATTTATTCTAGTTTGTGAAAGAAATGACCACAATTTCAAAAATAGAGATATCTTATTTTTCATTAAAGTTGTTAATATGACGGTTATTACTCGATATTGCATTTTCAAGTGTTTTAATATTGAGAAAAATATGAGTTAGAATTGAGTTTAAATGAAGAAATATTACAACTATATTTATATATATATTAAATTGACATATAAAATATTTTCATCATTCTATTATTATATTATCTTTCAAATTTTTGAGACAACAATTTTTTTTTCATCATTTTTCAAAATTGAGTTTCATCTGTGATTACTATATAACCTCATCCAATATTAGAACATATTTTTAAACATTGAACCTGCAACAATAAAAAATTAAAATTTAAGTAAATAAACAATAACACAATATAAAAATGTCACATTAAAATTAAATTTAACCTTGTTGTGAATTAGGCAAATTGTTGTGAGTGAATAATGATCCTTCTAAATATTCGATAACTTTTCAAAGTCACCCTCCTAGAAAATATAAGCAATATTATGAAAAAGTGATGATAAAATATGAAATAAATTTTAGTTTTTGTGTATCATCATCAAATATTAAATTTAATCCATAAAAATTATAAATAAAAAAAAGGACAACACCTAAGTTTGAGATAACAAAATTTTTCTAAAAATATTATTCTTTGTAAAGTTTCTATCTTCCCCATCAAGTTTTTCTTCTTTAATAAGAATTTTCATTGAAGCTTGAGAAATACCTCTTGACAAAGTAACGTATAATTGACCATCACTAAAAACATGTTGTGGAAAATAAAATATTGGGTATTATTTGTTCTTGTAACTTATTTATGATAATTGCAAAATTTAGTCGATCTCACAGGAAATTGTTTCCTAATAAGCACAAAGGAAAGTCATGCATTCCTTGTTTTATGTTTAATATCTTGGGTAGAAAAGCTCTCTTTCCAACATTATGACCTGGTAGGATTTCAACATCCAACATATTCATAAAGAATATCCACGACATAGTAACCTTGTTCCATTACGATGAACCTTTTTTAACCTTTAGATTATGTGGTGGCAAACCACTAGAGTAATAGAGTGCAAGTATTCTTGTTGATATAAGTTGTGTATATCTCTTTCAAATCACATTATTCTCCTGGAAAATGACTAATATGATAATATCGTTAAATTTGAACATCTTCATTTTTTTTGTGTTAATATGGTTTTTTCCACCATATAAGATGTATCTCATGTATGAGATTTTAATTGGAGAAATGTATCACAAATAAGTTTTTGTATTTTCTCCTTCCCATGTTATTTCAATTTGGTTGGGTATTTTTACCATATCATCACATTTGGTGGTTCAGTACGATTTTCAATGCGCATTAAATATTTTGCAAAATTGTGATCTTGCAATGCTTGCATGCTTTGTCACAAATGTAAAACCTTTGTAGTAGACCATAAAAGAGACATAACAATACATGCATATATCATTTGTGCCTTAGTACCCTTTTGAACAACAAGAAGTACTTGTCAAAAATCCCCTCCTAATATCATAATTTTACCACCAAATAGAGCATCACAATCTAAAATATCCTTTAATGATCTGTCTAATGCTTCCAAATCATATCTATTTGTCATGGGTGCTACATTTGTGACACCCTTACTACCCCAACACAAATATTGTAATAATGTAAATAAACTAAGGAAATAAATTTTTCAACATCGGTAAAAGGGTTCACATAAAAACTTTTAGAAACATTCTTCAATATCCAAAATATTTTGAAAATGAAACTTGGAAAATAAAACATAAGAGATTGCAAAATGTTTTCAAAATAATAAGTACAACTCCATATACAAATAAAATCCATGTCCTAGAAATCCTCTGTCTCGATATCAAATATCAGAGCATACCCATAATTTAACTGTTGGCATTCTAGATGCCACTCATAGCTAGATCTTTCTCACCTAAGACATTCACAAATTGTATGGTGAAAAAAAAATCTATATGTAAAGCACATAAGGAAAAACACAACATAATCTCATCATAACTACTTAATGAAATATTTACAAGCATTTCTATATATCATAACTCTATCAATCATGCATCGTCTTCACGTCATAATTTGCAATCACACCAATCCATCACAAATCTTGCAATTAACACTATCATTTTCACATTCATAATCTACACAAATCTTACAATTAACACTATGCCAAGGCCACGCCACAACTGACATAAGTGATACGAGTTAATTGCCTCACTCATCCTACACTATGCCAAGGTCATGTCGTCCTTGTAGCATCACTTACCCAAGGGTCGTGCCATCCCTGGTCATTAGTGTGAGGAACCACAATCACATTCATAATCCACACAAATCTTACAATTAACCCTATGCCAAGACCACACCACATCTGACATAAGTGATACGTGTTAATTGTCTCACTCATCCCACACTATGTCAAGGTCACGCCATCCTTGTAGCATCACTTACCCAAGGGTCGTGCCATCCCTGGTCATTAGTGTGAGGAACCACAATCTTATTCACATTCATACATCTCATCTCATAATTCAATTTCATATCACATACACACAACATATAAGTCCAACAAAATAATAGTTCACATACCCCTCAAGCAATTCACCATGAATTCACTTATTGATCATCAATTTTTTTACCATATAATATAACAATAACATTTATAAATTAATATAAAACTAAATTGAATCACCAATTTAATAGAATCTTAACTTAAATAGTAAAACCCCCAATTTTTTCCAAAACCTAACTCACAGGCACTTTTCTACAATTTCGTTCTCTCTCCCGAATCATCATTTTTACAAATTAATTATATATTCATAATCCTTAACACATACAGAATATAATAATACCAATAATTCTTCAAACAAAAATAATTATAAAATTATTAAAATTTCCACAAGAACTCTTCTCCACCCGTTCCTTCATGTGACTCTACACATAAATCTTCTCTTTTCTCCCGTACCTCGATAAGCAGTAGTTGAAACTAAGCAGGATCTGGTTGGTCTCCTCCGCTAGGTTCCCCTCGATTTTCAGAGAGTGTAAAAGAAAAGAAGTCAAAAGTGAAAAATGTGCTTTTTGGGAGTGTCAGAGCGCTCTATTCATAAGCATTAGGAGTTGGCAGAACGACCCGTTTCAAATTCGAAATGGGCCGTTCTAGACTCTTACATCATATGTAAAATTTCACATCCAGAATGGCCCGTTCTCAAACCAGAACGGCCCGTTCTGGGATTACATTTTAACCCATAACGACCATGTTTGGAATGGCCCGTTCCCAACTTTGGAACGGCCCGTTCCCAACTAGGGTTATAGGTCATTTTGGTTGTTTGAAACGACCCGTTCCAATTTGGAAACGACCCATTCTAGGCGATCAAAAATAGGTCTCCTTAGTAGTTTGGAATAGCCTGTTCCAGTTTAGGAACGGCCCGTTCTGGGCTACTAAATCACCCATATTGGACTTTTGGGCCTTCGTACAATCTGTGAAAATCGGGTTGTTACAACACCCCAAATGATTGATGTTGTTTCTCTAATTAGTTTTACAAGATCAACATGTTTACTTATTAAACAAAATGAATCTGTT